AAGGATCTGAAGACTATATTTATACACAGGGAACTGGGACTGGGACGTGTGGACATATTTATGCAGTTTATGAGTTACATTTTTTTTATTTGGGGCTTAGTTGTCCTTGAAGCTTAAGCACAAATTCAGACTGAAGACAAAAGAGACGTCATGCTGCCACATGACACACCTGCTCCTCAACAGTAATCAGCCTCAGCTGCTCAGTAACACACCTGTGCTCATCATCACTTCATGACTGCATTTAAACAGGGTCAAGCTGCTTTTCAAGCAGCAACCCACCTCCTCCCCATCACCTCCTTTTCAGTCGAGTATCATGTCATGTTTTCAGATCAGCTTCTTCGCCACCAGGTTCTAGGCCCCGGGGGATCGCAAGCTCATTATTTCTATAAAACTCCCCTCCTCATATGTCATGCAGTATTCCTGCCAGGGTGCCAAAGCTTTTCAATATACAGTGCCTTGAAAGTATTTGGCTCCCTTGAACCTTTCAACATTTCGCCACATTTCAGGCTTCAAACATGAAGATATAAAAATTATTTTTGTTGTCAAGAATCAACAACAAGTGGGACACAATCGTGAAGTGGAACGAAATTTATTGGATAATTTAAACTTTTTTAACAAATAAAAAACTGAAAAGTGGGGCGTGCAATATTATTCGGCCCCTTTGCGCTAATACTTTGTAGCGCCACCTTTTGCTGCAATTACAGCTGCAAGTCGCTTGGGGTATGTCTCTATCAGTTTTGCACATCGAGAGACTGGAATTCTTGCCCATTCTTCCTTGCAAAACAGCTCGAGCTCAGTGAGGTTGGATGGAGAGCGTTTGTGAACAGCAGTCTTCAGCTCTTTCCACAGATTCTCGATTGGATTCAGGTCTGGACTTTGACTTGGCCATTCTAACACCTGGATACGTCTATTTGTGAACCATTCCATTGTAGATTTGGCTTTTTGTTTTGGATCATTGTCCTGTTGGAAGATAAATCTCCGTCCCAGTCTCAGGTCTTTTGCAGACTCCAACAGGTTTTTTTTCAGAATGGTCCTGTATTTGGCTCCATCCATCTTCCCATCAATTTTAGCCATCTTCCCTGTCCCTGCTGAAGAAAAGCAGGCCCAAACCATGATGCTGCCACCACCATGTTTGACAGTGGGGATGGTGTGATCAGGGTGATGAGCTGTGTTGCTTTTACGCCAAACATATCGTTTTGCATTGTGGCCAAAAAGTTCAATTTTGGTTTCATCTGACCAGAGCACCTTCTTCCACATGTTTGGTGTGTCTCCCAGGTGGCTTGTGGCAAACTTTAAACGAGACTTTTATGGATATCTTTGAGAAATGGCTTTCTTCTTGCCACTCTTCCATAAAGGCCAGATTTGTGCAGTGCACGACTGATTGTTGTCCTATGGACAGACTCTCCCACCTCAGCTGTAGTTATCTGCAGTTCATCCAGAGTGATCATGGGCCTCTTGGCTGCATCTCTGATCAGTCTTCTCCTTGTTTGAGATGAAAGTTTGGAGGGACGGCCGGGTCTTGGTAGATTTGCAGTGGTCTGATACTCCTTCCATTTCAATATAATTGCTTGCACAGTGCTCCTTGAGATGTTTAAAGCTTGGGAAATCTTTTTGTATCCAAATCCGGCTTTAAACTTCTCCACAACAGTATCTCGGACCTGCCTGGTGTGTTCCTTTGTCTTCATGGTTCTCTCTGTGCTTTAAACAGAACCCTGAGACTATCAAAGAGCAGGTGCATTTATACGGAGACTTGATTACACACAGGTGCATTCTATTTATCATCCTCAGTCATTTAGGACAACATTGGATCATTCAAAGATCCTCACTGAACTTCTGGAGTGAGTTTGCTGCACTGAAAGTAAAGGGGCCGAATAATATTGCACGCCCCACTTTTCAGTTTTTTATTTGTTAAAAAAGTTTAAATTAACCAATACATTTCGTTCCACTTCACAATTGTGTCCCACTTGTTGTTGATTCATGACAAAAAATGTAAATGTTATATCTTTATGTTTGAAGCCTGAAATGTGGCAAAATGTTGAAAGGTTCAAGGTGGCCGAATACTTTCTCAAGGCACTGTATATAATGGTACTCAATCTAAGTCTGCTGGTGTTTATTCATGCATCTTGACATTAAACATTCTAATGCAATCTTCATCGAGTCTTTCCAGAATTGCCTTCAGTAGATGTGTATCTTCTAAATGTTAAATGTTTTTATCTGTTTTTAATATTTAAAAGTGTAGATTAAGCTAATTCATTTGTAGCTGCAAGCATGAATTAAATAAGCTTGAAATAGACTTTATTCAGAATACACCATGTAAGTCTTAGATGTAAAATCTTGCAGAATTTGAAGTGATTACAAATTTTAAGAATTGTATTGGGCTTAAATGTTGATATAAAATAAGTGAATGAATTCTAATATTACGGGCAAGTCCTGCCTTCCCTAATCTTAGCTTTAGCTCAAAATCCACGATGCCGTCCACTTCAACCAATCAAGTGATGCCAAGGGCTGGCAATTGTCGCGCTCGCATTATCTTGTCGTAGATTAACTACACAGAGACGGGATCGTGGCGTAGGCCACAGTTATCTATCCACCATAAATATATTTGGACAAATATTAGACAGCCCTTAATATTTGAAGCTGTAATGGGCATTATCTTTTTTAAATGATAATAGTTAGTTCCCAAAGGTTTTGTCCTGACTTGGCGCGACCATAGACTGTAGGCTAGACAGGTAACAGCTCTCATATATGTATGTGTTTTCTTAAATCGCAGCAGACCATGAGTCTCTGCAGACCTCCTGTCTGGATCACTTACTGCCTTTAGTGGAGAGCCTCCAGTTTGCTCATTGAGAGGGGGGTGAAGAGGGGTGAGGAGGTACCAGAGAGAGACCAGGGAGAGACCAAAGAGAGATCAGGGAGAGACCAGAGAGAGATGGGAAAGACCAGAGAGAGACAGACAGACCATAAGAGACCAGAAAGAGACCAGAGAAAGACCAAAGAGAGACCAGAGAGAGAAGAGACCAGCAAGACAGACGATAAAATGGAGAGAGATACCACAGAAACATTCTCACAGAAGTGACTGTTAAAAGCCGTGGCCCAAACGTGATAAAGTGGTAGACCTGGCAACCGCGTAGAGGTGACAGCGCATGGAGCAACAGGAGCCCGTTCGCGTGCGTGTGTGACGAGAGCGCGCGCGGAGGAAGAGGCTGAAGCGGGTTGTGAATAAAGTTGAGGGATTTGACTTTGGTTTCATAACAACAGTTCTATTTGACTTTTTGAGGAGAGAGCTGATTGGCCGGTTTTGTTTCTCTTTCTGGCCTTGGTCTCTCTGGACTCTCTCTCTGGTCTCTCTCTCTGGTTCCTCTCTGGTCTCTCTCTCTGGTCTCTCTCTCTGGTTCATCTCTGGACTCTCTCTCTGGTCTCTCTCTCTGGTCTCTCTCTGGACTCTCTCTCTGGTTCCTCTCTGGTCTCTCTCTCTGGTCTCTCTCTCTGGTCTCTCTCTCTGGTTCCTCTCTGGTCTCTCTCTCTGGTCTCTCTCTCTGGTCTCTCTCTCTGGTTCCTCTCTGGTCTCTCTCTCTGGTCTCTCTCTCTGGTCTCTCTCTCTGGTCTCTCTCTCTGGTTCCTCTCTGGACTCTCTCTCTGGTCTCTCTCTCTGGTTCCTCTCAGGTTTAATGCAGAGTTCTATTGTGATTTGAAAGTAGACGTTCGCCAGCTTTAACATGCCTTTCACATTTTAACTCATTATATTTTCTTCCAACCAACACATCGATCTGCGCCACCATACTCCTGGGTTATGTAACGTAATGTGACGTAGTAACGCAGTAGGGCCTTCTTTACACTTTGAGTGAGATCTCTCCTCTACTGATTTGTGCCTCCTTCCCGCTTGATTTCTCTGCAAACCTGGCAACCCCCTCTCTCTCCTCCTCATCCTTTTCCTCTCCTCTAACAGCGGCACAACGCGGAGCACTGTGGCCGCACACAGAGGCTTCTGGAGCGGACACGGACCGAAGAGGTACACGGGAGGAAAGACGAGAGAGAAAAAAAGAGAGAGAGACTATTCTCCTTATTATTATTAATATCATCATTATTATTATTATTACTACTGCTATTACTGATGCTGCTGCTGCTGTGATGGCAACAGACTCCGAAGGTGCACGCGCAGAGTGATGGAATCTGCAGGTGGACAATAGGAACAGAGACACAAGTCACGCGTGGATCAAATCTCTGGGAAATGTTTGCTGATTTTTGAAGAGGAGACAAGAAACAACAGAATCTGCAGCAAAACTACAACTAAAAGTTCTCCCCAAGTCTCTCCTCACGTCTCTCTCCTCACGTCTCTCGCGCACAGAGAGACCAGCTTTGATTTGGTTGCGCTCCTGAAAAGCGTCACTTGTTGGTCTCATCATTTGTGCCAGACGCGGACTGGATGCAACAGTGTCAAGAACATCAGACGCTTTCACTTGTTGGGCTCCAGCTGTACGCGCGTCGTGGAAGCGGATGCGGACTGGACGGACTGAAGTGGATGAGATAAGAGAGTCTAAATTCGTTCCACAACGGGGAATTTCCGGTGTTGCAGTGCACTTACAGGACAGGAGTAAGAGCACACACATTTACAGAGACAGGGTCCGTCATAACCACATATATAGATATAAGTGTAACAGTGGACAGCTGGGGGAGACTTGTTGCTGGTGCAGCTCTTCGCGCGTTCTGACTTTGGGACTTCACGAAACAGTGAAACGAAACAGCCGATGATCATCCACTTCCACCTGCTTTTGAACGCGGGCTCGTGCTTTCAGGACAATTGGCTTTGATTTGTTTAGACTTCACTTTAACGCACGAACGCGCGCGAACTGTATGCGAGCTCAAAGTGTCAGCATAAACAGCCGATGATCGTCCACTTCCAGCTCCGTCCGCGCAGCCCTGCCAGGAGAACCGTGTAGCTGATGTCACGCGCGGCTCGGCTCTTGGCATTTTGACGCACGCGTGTGGAGCGAGGCACAGCGATGATCAGGATCTTCCCGGACTTCAGCGTGCAGGTGTCGGCCTCCTCAGCGGGCAGCGGGGGCGGAGGGCTCGGGGGAGGCTCCGCGGGGGGCGGCATGCTGAGCCCCGGGGCCGGTCCTCCTCTGGGCCGCGTGCCTGTGGTGCCAGGGGCCGGGACCGGAGCTCAGAGCGCGCAGGGACTGGGCGCCTATCAGAAGTAAGAGACCTATGGAGCATGTACTCACACACATACACACGCACACGCACACACACACACACGCACTCACACCCGCACTCACAACCCCTATATTCCAGACTACTGTGAGAAGTTAAAAGGTTTTGTGATATTGATCCTGTCTAAACTCAAGGATGGTGATTACAGAGCTGAGGTTTGACACACGACAGCTATATTTATTTTAAAAATATATATATATCAAAGAAAACCACAGAATATAACGCTGTTTCCGTCACACACACACACACACACACACACACAGTCCACACGGCTTCACTGGTCTGTCCTGTTCCTCTAAACGCACACATGTTTTTATTACAGATCAGTGTGAGTTATTGATCGAGTCTGAACACACTTTAAAATCATGGATAATTATAGATCTGGTTTGACGCAGATTTTAACCCATGAATTGAAGAGATGCTCGAGAATGTTGTGAATGGGACTAAAACACACTGAGACTCATCTTATGGGATTTAAAAGCACTTGTGAGTTACATAGAGGCCACAACACACAGAGAATATTTTGTGGGTTTGTGTGTAGACCTATGTTCAGTGTGTGTATACATGTTCAGTGTGTGTGTGTAGCTGAAGCAGCTGCATGCAGGAGATTATCACATATTTACAGAATATTTCACAAAACACAAACTTTAGATAATTACAGAGATATAGTTTGACACACGTTTAAAAATATGATTCAAATAAATAAGAAATACATTGAAATATGTGTAATTATAACAGGACATTTAGAATATTTATTGTGTGTTTTTGAGCCAATACTAATATATATCTATATCTATATATACGTATATGAACGCATTGAGACAAAAGCTGCAGCAGATTATGAAGCAGGTGAAATACTTCGGAGTTTTTCATCATTTCATTGGTTATTTAGAAAAAGCAAATACCATATGATATAATATAATGAAAAAAATATAAAACATAAAAACTGTTGATTTGAAAGGTTTGAAGACTAATGCAAAGCGATAGAGGACGATATGACAGGATTCAAGAGACTAAAAGAAACGACTGTTTTAATTTCACACACTGAGATATTTCTGAAGGATCTGTGTCTGTGTGAAACACACCACTGTGTGATACATTTTGCCAAATTTGTTCACACTTTTGCATAATTTCAGGATTCGTTGAAACAGTTTTCTCACAGATGCTCTGGTCTGACACACGTCTCGCCTCGTGCTGCGTCTTTGAACAGAGACGGCGCTTTCTTATTAGGATTTCACTGTTAATTCAATTCTGTGACATAATTTCTGCAGCTTTATCCTCACTGCGACAACTCTCACCGTTTTAACACACATTTAACACACCTTTTTGGAAAAAAAATTGAATTCACTTTTGCTTCTGTAAAAATCAGTAGTTTTTTCTGAAGGTGAACACACTGCAGATGTGTGGAGCGAGCGGCTTCGACGTGGAGCCTCTGGTTTGAGCTTTTTCTCACAATAAAACTCTCTCCTGCAGACGCTCAGAACAGATGGAAATTGGGAGAAAACAGATACACAGAAAAAGAAAAAAAAAGAAAAAGAGAGAGATTTAAACGAGAGATTTTGGCTTAAACAAGCGCAGTTTAAAGAGAGGATTTTTCTTATGGGAGAAACACAACTGCTGCTCACTGCGTAGCTGTTATACACACACACACACATATAGATGTACTACACACACACACACACACACATATGTTTATATTTATATATACATATACTGTAGATATATAAATATATCACACGCACACACACAATTAAATTGCAATTTCTGCTCGATACATGTATGGTCATGTATCCATCTTCTACTTTTTTTTAAATGTACAACCTGCTCAGGGACCACAGTTGTAAATTAGCACTGCTGCTAAAACCTGCTACAACATTGCATATCTCTTTTGGCTCATGTCCCTTGTTTACTGTCCCTGTAAAAAACAAAACACACACACACACACATATACACATACACATACACACACACACACACACACACACACATATACACACACACACTCTCACACACACACACATATACACACACACACACTCTCACACACACACACACACTCTCACATGGTTTTATGTCCCGTCGTCGCCTGTGTGTACTTCTCTGATCGTTGATTCTTTGCTCATGATTTTAAAGTCGTGCCAAACGTAAACGTAAATCAAACGTTTGAATAAATGACACGATTGTTTTCTTGAAAGAATGAGTTTTAAAACATGCCATGGTTACAGGACAAGCTTCTAATAGTGTTATTTAATCTCTGTCTTATCAGTTTATATTAGTTTCTGCTCAATGCTGCTGGTTCGTCCACAAAGCACAGACGCAGGCTTCACATTTCTGTTTCCAAAAGCAACATGTACATGTAGCCAAAGGTAAGAGACCAGAGAGAAATCAGAGAGACTAGAGAGACTCGAGAGAGAGACTCGAGAGACTCGAGAGAGAGACTCGAGAGACTCGAGAGACTCGAGAGAGAGACTCGAGAGAGAGACTAGAGAGACTCGAGAGAGAGACTCGAGAGACTCGAGAGAGAGACTCGAGAGACTCGAGAGACTCGAGAGACTCGAGAGACTCGAGAGAGAGACTCGAGAGACTCGAGAGAGAGACTCGAGAGACTCGAGAGAATGACTCGAGAGACTCGAGAAAATCGAGAGAGAGACTCGAGATACTCGAGAGAGAGAGACTCGAGAGAATGACTCGAGAGACTCGAGAGAGAGAGACAGAGTGTATTTTACTAAATAAAGTCAGCGATACTGCAAGGCCTAAAGATGAACCATGTAATTGTGAGGGACCAGTGCGCTGCTGGGAGTACCACAGGGGTGCGTTTTGGACCGATTGATATTTTGAGTATGTTCTCTAACGCCGGCATCATGACATGAAGTCACTGTTATACTTTTAGTTTTATAAACACCAAGACTTGATTATTTTAAAACAACAGCTGGAGCATCGTCCATGTTTATATTATTATTGTACATTTAGATGTTGTTCATGTGTCTCTGAGCTGAGAGTTGGTGGTGGCTGCGTGGGTCCTTGGACCAGACACTTTACCAGCTTTATGCATTTGGACAGAGAGAGCAGAAAGAGAGACTAGAGAGAGACCAGAGAGACACCAGAGAGAGACCAGAGAGAGACTAGTTGCTGTTGGTGATGGCTGCCTTGGGCAAGGCACTTAACCGGCTATATGCATTTAGAGAGACAGACCAGTGACTATGGAGAGACCAGAGAGTGAGGCCAGGGACTAGAGAGAGACCAGAGAGTGAACAGTGTCCAGAAAGAGACCAGAGCGAGACCAGAAAGTGACCAGAGCGAGACCAGAGAGAAACCCAGAAAGAAAGAGACCAGTCTCTAACCGGCCTTATTCATGTAACCATTTATCATCAAAAAAATCCTTGAATCGTACTAGAACACTTTTGCCCTGAGTCTTCTCAGTTACTGTTAACGATGAGTCGTGAAACTATGAGAACATGTTTATACGTTTATAGGTTATTTCTGCACAAAGCGTTCCCTTTATATGCCTCTGATTGTTGATCAAATATTCAAGAATAACGGTTCATTTTTGCCTCAGAACATTGTGTTTTGGACTTTCATCTGTCGCAGCTGAACAGCCTGTGCCTCAGCTCCGGCTCCGGTCACGATCCAATAAAACCTGATTTCACACAGAGACTCAGGTCTAGTGCAGCTCACAGATGTCCCAAACTCACCGCAAACTCTAATCAAAAGGTGTTCTTCCGCTTTATCCGGTGCCAGGTCAGAGGAGGCAGTTAGAGATGTCCAGACTCATGTGGAGCGCTTGTGTCCTCCATCTTGTCCAGAGGTTAGGGTAGATTGTGTACAGATGCTATCCCTCTAGCTCAATGCTAACCCGTTAGCTAAATGAAGCCCAATAGGGAAATGCTCATGGGGAAGTCACACTGTGGTGATCTCACAGTGTGGTGATGTCACAATGTGGTGATGTCACACTCTGCCAGTCCACTGTATTCAGTTTCTAGCTGAGTATTTGCACGTACTGCAACCAATCAGAGAGCAGCAAAGTGGTCACAGGGACACAAGCTCAGAGCGGGGAGAAGAAGACACTCAAAAACAGCTAAAACAAGAGCTAAACTAGGACTAAACCAGGACTGAACCAGGACTGAAGCAGGACTACAGCAGGAACAAAGCAGGACAGGACCAGGACTGAACCAGGACTGAAGCAGGACTGCAGCAGGATTGAAGCAGGATTGAAGCAGGATTGACTATGGGGGACACAGTGTTTGTGGAGACATGTCTTCACCCTGAGCTCACATTCTGCTGTGACTCTCGAGCTGCTGACGCCATCAGGACACAGACACTGCGGTGCTTCTCCAATTGTAGGACTGAGTATTCTCTAAACTCATGTGTTTCCAAAACACTCAGCGACGGTTACAACGCGGCTTAGAGAGGACACCGCTCTGACTCCACTGGTGTCTGTCGTCCTTCACATCTGACTGAGGCATGGTATGTCTCCTTTAACTGTGATCCTCACATTTAAGTCTAGTCTGGAGAAGCTTTGGTGCTTTATGAGATTATCCCCACGCAGACTACATCTTCATCTCGCCCCTCTCTCTCCCTCTCGCTCGCTCTCTTTCCTTCTCTCTCCCTTGCTCGCTATCGCTCCCGCTCTCTCTCACTCTCTTGCTTGCTGTCTCTCTCTCTCTCCCTCTCACTCTTGCTCCCTCTCGTTCTCTCTTTCGCGGTGCACATTACCCACAATGCCTTTGACCTTGAGCAATCGCAGACAGAGGAGAGAGAGGAGAGGAGGGGAGGGGGTGACGACGCCTGTAAGAGGAATCTCCCGTCTGCAGAAGCATCCGAGAGGAAACAGCAGTGAAACATGGAGGAGAGAGACCTGTGTGTGATGTTTGTGTCTCTCCACTCTGAGATCTTCTCTGTGGCTGTTCCTCACCACACACAGACCTGGGGTGGTGTCTAGCTCCATCTATGCTGGAACCCCCACCCCGTCTGTCTACATCAGGGCTGTGTTTAATAAGAGGATCATTTCAGTTCATCAGAAATGTAAAAAATGACTGTAAAAGACTGACCTGGACTTGGCTGAATGACAAATGTTTACTTTCTCACCTGCTGGTTGCTGGTCTCAAATGTTTACTTTCTCACCTGCTGGTTGCTGGTCTCAAATGTTTACTTTCTCACCTGCTGGTTGCTGGTCTCAAATGTTTACTTTCTCACCTCCACATGGAGAGAAGCCAGTGGAGGTGGCTCATCTGGGCATATCCAACTGGGAGGAGACCAGGGGAAGATCCAGGACACAGGGACTGTGTCTCTCTGCTGGGAATTCCTCAGGATTCCCCCAGATGAGCTGGAGGAGGTGTGTGCAGAGGGAAGTCTGTGTCTCTGCTCAGACGAACACAAAAGTGTTAAGCCCCTTTACAGTTTCCGGATGAACATTCAAACGTCGATATCAATATTAGAGTTGAATCCACTTTTTGTCCAAAAGCAAAAATAACTTCTCAGCCTCAGTGTCAAATATGGGGGTGGCAGCATCATGCTGTGGGGCTGCTCTTCAGGAAGCGAAAAAGAACAGGGCAATGTCAGAAACACCTGAGATTGAATCCCAATAGAACAACGATCACAGTCCAGACCCACGACCTAAACTGTCCTCGACATCAGTAAGAGGTGCAGGAGTGAAACTGGCTCTCATTAGTGATGTCTCATTGCTGGTTGCTGCTGTGTCCTTGGGGAAAACATTGTCTGTGACTGTGGTCTGTTATGAATGTGTTTTAATCTGATTCAAAGATGTGACAGAGGCTGAAGAATGCTGCTGTGAGAAAGGTTGTTTTAAATCATCTTCTTGGGTTTGAAAATCAGGTCCCCCAGCTTTAATGGGCCATTATTCATGACAAGGCAAGTTACAGCTCAGTTCATACACTAGGCAACTCAAAGTGTTTCACTAAACAAGATAGAAACAAAACAATATAATGCATCAGAATCAACTGTGTTTTCATAGAGTGAAGATCCAGTTTTATGCACAGCTAGAACTGTTTTTAACCTGAATTTGAACATTGTCAGAGAAGAAGCCTGTATCACATTTTCAGGAAGATTGCATTTAGCTGCATAAAACTGACACCCTGCCTCCCCATGTTCAGACAAATACACTCTGTGTCGAATTCTGGCTGAAAGTGAAGGATTCTACCTTTAAAAAGTCTAATTGTGTTGGTGACAGTGTTATTTACTGCACAAAGCCTCTGTTCCCTTAATGACACTGAAGGAATCCTCTGCCACACGCATGCGCACTGCTCTCCCCTCTGCTTCACAAGGACGAGAAAGGGTTAAACTGTGATTGGAACAAACGTTTAGAGCAACAGCCGCTCGTGCACGCACGCGCACGCACACATTCAGACACATGCACAAGCACGGACAGACACACACAGACGCGCGCGCGCGCGCACACACACACACACACGCATGCAGACTGGAAGCAACACATGGACCAGCACTAGCGCCGCCACAGCATCAGCACCATCCTGCATCCATCCATCCTCCACCGGGCACAGAGCAGCAGAGCACCGGGGGCATGGCGGAGCACCGGGGCAAGCGCTCGGCTTCGCGGTGATCGGCTTCGCGGGGGTCGGGATGAGGCGGTAGAGACGATGCTGGTGCAGTGGAGGAGCGTGTGACCCAAAGCGGAGGGAGGAGGAAGATGGCGCCCACCAAACCGAGTGTGCAACAGCCAGACCCGGCGCGCAGGGAACGGTAATTCGGTGATGACGCGAGGGGCTCTGGCTGCGCTTCCATCCTGGCGGTCTGCGGCTGTTTTTGTGTGTGGCGCGCGTGCATGAGCGTGTGGTGGAATGAGCTGTTTATGTCTGACACCTGAGCTCACGTGACCAGGGATGTGAAGGGTTGTGTAGGGTTGTGGGTTTGTGTCTGTTGTTGTGAAGTGATTGGTGCAGACACGTGTTGCTCGTTTGCATACGGTCTGTTCCACCTGTTGTGGTCTGAAGCCAGGGCCGCAGGAACGGAGCGGGTAGATTCAGGGCCCGCGGGAAATGAGCTGGGGGCCATGACTGTAGTGTGGAGGCCTGTTCAACTGGTGGTCCAGGGACCAAATCAGGCCCTCTTGACCATCAGATCTGGCCTACTGCTGCTCTTTCCTAATCCATGTTTAAAGGAAAATGTATATGCTTTCAGATGAGAGGTCTAGACTTTTTTTTACTTACTACTTAGAATTTGGTGCACAGCAGTCTCTAGCTATAACTATTCGCCTTTTGTGGGATCTCTGTTTCGCTGATTTTTGTGGGCTTCTCGTGCGCCGTGTACATCAAATTCATAACCACTGGTGTCACACGACAGTTACCTTGTTTAAAGTCAGTGGAAAACTTTTGTGGCGTGTGCGCACAGCCACGTTTTTGGACTTTCACTGGTCCCTCTCTCTGGTCTCTCTCTCTGGTTTCTCTCTTTCTGGTCTTAATCACTGGGAGCTCTCTAGATGGTCTCTCTCTCTGGTCTCTCTCTGGTCTCTCTCTTTGCTCTGGTCTCTCTCTCTTGTTGCTCTCTGGTCTCTCTCTGGTCTCTCTCAAGTCTATCCTTGGGATAGACCAGAGAGACTTTTGGTAGCCATGGGCCTCGTATCTGCATCTGTGATCAGAGTTGTCCTTGTTGGAGCTGTGAGTTTGTGCAGACAGCTGAGTATTGGTAGATTTGCAGTTGTGCCATACATGAAGTGAGGCCCTTATGCTCCCTGTGTGTGTACAGTATGAAGTTTGAACAGTTTTTCTATTTCCCGTTGAAATGTTTCTGTCATGATCATGAGTGTTGTTGTGTCCACGAGCAGAACACCTCCACTTGAATGAGGTTTATGTTCCTCTATGATGTCGGCTTTTTGTGACTCTAGCCCAGGGGGGTCAAATTCACTTTGGTTGTTGGCTAAAAAACATAAACAAACGGGGCCAAAAATAATTATAATTGATAAAAAACGTTAACGCAATAATTTAGACAGCCCTAATATAAAAATGTAATTATCGTGTTAACGCACGATAATTACATTTTTCAATAATCGCGTAAAAAGAAAGAAAGAATGGGTTTAACGCATGTCAGAATAACCTGCCCATGTATCCCATAATATCACTCAGAATTCCGCCGACACATGCCTGTGTGAGATGGCAACAGAGCGGGTCTCTGGGAATTCAAGTTTTAAAAGAATACGCACGAGACCGCGGGGCACTTGCTGCTGTTTGCTGTATGAACTGAAGTCCGCCTCCTCCGTCTGACCCTGGCCGCAGCGTTCTGACCCGGGGCACCTGCGGCCGCTCTGGAGCGCGGTTGCCCCCTCCAGTGGCTGTGAGCCACTAACGACAACACGGCGAACGGCGCCGCGGTAACGTGATCCAAGACCATACACACACAGAACTATTCTCTGAATGTTGTGTGCGTGTTTTTGCGTAACCTGTGCACGCAAATACACTGCTGAAGCTGAACTATATATATATATATATATATATATATATATATATATATATCTATATTTATATATATATATATGTAAGTAAGTAATCTTTATTTATATACCGCCTTTCACAGACCAGAGTCACAATTTCACAATATATATATATTGCATATATTGTATTTTTACAAAATAATTAATTAGTTTAGTTATTTTTTTCTATTGGTTTGGATTCAATCACAGCTGGGCCAAATATGAAAAAGGTTGGTAGTAAAAAAAAAGAATATATATGTATATATGAAAAATATCTTTATAAAATATATATAAAATATCTTTGGCCCATTTAACTTATAATTATTCGTTAGTTAACATTTTAGAACAGATGAAATTATACGGTTGCTTTTCAGAGAAAATTTAAGGAAAGTATAACATTTACCATCAATACTGCAAGATGATAATAGAAATTGAAAATCATTTTAGGGGCCACTAAAAATGGTCACACGGTTTTGCCGACGAGCCTGAGTTTGACATGCTGCACGAGCCTGTTGTATTTGAATAATGTGCTGGGAGTCGACCCTTCATGTGAGAGTCGTCTGCTCAGAGAATCAAGATGTCTTGTCCTGTAACAAGGTTCTGTGTCCTGAAGGTTCAAGAATCGCAACATGTTTAGAATTGACATGACATACTGTAGAATTGTGACCCAGACATCATCAAACGGAATCTTCTCCTTGTAGCCCGTTCCCTCCCGTGCTGAGCCAGAGCTTTGACAGTGCTGTTTCCTCCGGATCATAAACATTGAAGGTGTAGATTCCGCTGTTGAACCTGAGCCACAAGTGTGATTCTCAGATGTTGTGATAATTTTATTCTCACAAAGACGATCTCCCGTGAGCCGCAGACGACAGCTGCTCATTAGCATACGCAGAGAGAGGCGTCTGATGTAGCATTAACTCTGAGGCCCAGGAACGTCTCCGAAAAACCACACAAACATTAAACCAGCTCTAATCCACCGCAGATACAGGTCTGCTTTACATCAGCCTTTGATTCGCAGAGCGGAACATCCTCCCATCTACGTCTCTCTCTCTCTTCTCCTCTCTCCTTCTGTCACTTTCTTTCTCTCTCCTTCTCGCCTCTCCTCTCTCTCCTTCTGTCTCTCTCTTTCTCTCCTTCTCTCTCTCTCCTCTCTATCATCTCTCTCCTTCTGTCACTCTCTTTCTCTCTCCTCTGTCCTTCTTCTGTCACCCTCTTTCTCTCTCTCCTTCAGTCACTCTCTTTCTCTCTCCTTCTCTTTCTCTCCTTCTCTCTCTCTCCTCTCTCTCCTTCTGTCACTCTCTTTCTCTCTCCTCTCTCTTCTTCTTCTGTCACTCTTTCTCTCTTTATCATTTTCTCTCCTCTCTTTCTGTCACTCTCTTTCTCTCTCTCTCTTTCTCTCTCGCCTCTCTCTCCTTCTGTCACTCTCTTTCTCTCTCCTTCTCTCTGTCTCTCCATCTCTCTCTCTCCATCTCTTGCTCTCTCTCTCTCCTCTCTCTCCTTCTATCACTCTCTTTCTCTCTGCTTCTCTCTCTCTATCTCTCTCCCCCCGTCTCTCCTATCCATCTTTCTCTACTGATATTTTCATGTATAATTACACCTTTCATATGTGTCTGCTGATAATGAACTCACTCACCATTTAGGGATTAAATCTGTGGTTTATCGCTCTCTCTGATCCTGCTGTTGATATTGATATATATCTGTGTAAGTCCAGATACGAGCCATATACGGATCGACCAATCAGAGGCCTTCATTCATGGGGGAAACTCCAGCTTGTCTTAGCAACCGTCCTAGCAACACATCTGCCCCTGTTACGGCGTGACAAATGCCCATATAAGGAAACTGTCTCCAACTTATGTTCAAATCGGCCTCTTCCGCATTAGGGCTAATACTGTGGTGATGTCACACTGTGGTGATGTCACACTGTGGTGATGTCACACTCGGTCAGTCCTTTCCTCTTATACACTCTTTAATAATTTATAATCACAGTTTATTGAAAATACAATCCTTCAGTTGTTGGCGATACATTGATAAAGACATTGATAATTGTTCTTTATTTAATTTTGTGACAGAGGCCAAGGATCCAGGAACCAGAGACATGGATTTTTTTTATAGATTTCTTCTCTCTCTCTCTCTCTCTCTCTCCCTCTCTCTCTCCACTCCTCCCCCTCGCTCCCCCCTTCGCTCTCTCCACCGGACGTTCTTGTCGTAGAGCAGACCTGGAGAGTCCCATCTCCGCAGACACATGTAAATTCTGTTTGAAAAAGCAATTTGGAACGAGACGCGCAATGTGTTTATTCCAGCTGATAACCGTGTTTACCGCAGCCGCACAAAAGGCAATCTGCGAAATCACCAAAAGAAAAGTGACAAAGGACGAGGAGACAGGAGAGAGGATAGGGGAGGGGAGGAGAGAGAGACCAGAGAGAGGAAGGGAGGAGAGAGAGACCAGAGAGAGGAGAGAGGACCAGAGAGACCAGAGAGAGGAGGGGAGGAGAGAGAGACCAGAGAGAGGAGGGGAGGAGAGAGAGACCAGAGAGAGGAGAGAGGACCAGAGAGACCAGAGAGAGGAGGGGAGGAGAGAGAGACCAGAGAGAGGAGGGGAGGAGAGAGAGACCAGAGAGAGGAGAAAGGAGGGAAGGAGGGAGGACAGTGGAGGGTATAGAGAACGAGAGAGACCAGAGAGAGGAGGGGAGGAGAGAGAGACCAGAGAAAGAAGAGGAGAGAGACCAAAGAGAGAAGCTGAGGATAGAAAAGGGGAGAGGACGAGAGAGACCAGTAGAAGTTACATGTTTTTTATAACCTGTGTGTTCTTAGCTAACTGTGTGTGCGTGGGTGTGTGTATATGTGTGTGTATCTCTCCCTCTGTGTTTTTGTCTGTCTCTCTCACACTCTCTGTCTGTGTATGTGTGTGTGTATGTGTATGTCTCTCACTCGCTCACTCTTCTCTGTGTATGTGTGTGCGTATGTCTCTCACTCTTTCTCTGTGTATGTGTGTGTATGTCTTTCTCTGTGTATCTGTATGTCTCTCTCTCACTCTTTCTCTGTGTTTATGTGTGTATGTCTCTCACTCGCTCACTCTTCTATGTGTGTGCGTATGTCTCTCACTCTTTCTCTGTGTATGTCTTTCTCTGTATATCTGTATGTCTCTCTCTCACTCTTTCTCTGTGTTTGTGTGTGTATGTCTCTCACTCTTTCTCTGTGTTTGTGTGTGTATTTCTCTCACTCTTTCTCTGTGTTTGTGTGTGTATGTCTATCTCGCTCTGTCTGAGTGTGCGTCTCTCTCTCTCTCTCTCTGTCTCTATGTGTTTGTGTCTATATCTCTCTTCCTCTGTGTGTGTGTTTTCTAAATCCAGATATAACATAGGTT